GTGTATAAAACAAGAGTTATAGGATTAAAAACATGCTACAAATATTAGTTCATAAATAAAAAAAAATGAATAAAACAAAAGTTTAGATTGGAAAATGCCAGCTATACAGACTTAAGGGATAAAATTGGCAGAAAGATAACAAAGTAAATTTTTCATAATTATGGGAAAAAATAAAAAATAGTTTAGAGATTAAAATTTATTAAAATTGAAAGTTTATGGACAAAATTTATAATTTAACTAAAATATTATGAGTATATGACTCTGATGATAAGTCGTACGGTTAAATGTTTTTTTTCCCAAAAAAGCCTCCACCTAAGAGTCCCAGACTAAAATATTATGAGTATATGACTCTGATTATAAGTCGCATAGTTAAATGTTTTTTTCTCAAATAAAGAGTACCTTAAGATACCGATACAGTGATTTAAATAACTTAATAATAATTTTTAAAATAAAAAATTTAGATGAGTAACCAAGGGAAAAAATAAAAAATAAATAAATAAATAAAAACACCTAACGCCACCTTCTTCTGATTTGTCTGGCAAACATTCAAGGTAAAAAATGAAAAATAAAATTGCAAAACGGGCAGAGGATCATGACTGATGATGCTTGATTCATACCAACTGAAGAATCAAAAATCAAGATAACACTCACCTCTTGCGAAGGACCATAATCTCCATCCTTTTCCGCTTTTTTGAATCCATTCTCCATTTTTCCTTGCAGAGAGTGAACTTTCAGCTTTAGCAAAAAATCAAATGCAGAACAAAGGAAAAAATGGAAAGCTATCGATAAGAAGAGAGGAATCGAATTCTGCAAGAGGAGCCAAGTTCTTTGAATCACTCAATGTGTATCAGATAAGGTAGAGGACAGGTGATCGAAAACGACATGGAAACAGAGAGAGGGAGTGGTTGGCTACGACATTTAGATTGAAAATTCGTTCGCAAAGGAAAGGTTTGGAAGAATTTTCTTCATGTAGATCAGCGGTGACCTTTTTTCCAATGTGGGTTAGGTGATTTGATTGGGATTGAATACTTTTTTTTAAAATATATATAAATCTTGGTTGTGACTGAATTTACTCTTTAATAATTGAGGGAATTTTTAATGTCAGGGTCACGGTATAAAGTTGAGTGAAAATTTTTTATTTAGAAAACGTTTGTTGAAAGTAACAGCTGTCAGTGAAGTATGAATGAAGCAAATATGTATTTAAAAAAATTCGTCACATTGACAGAAGTGAAACAGTAAATTTTAAGAGAAAATTGTAGTATTCATTTTCACTTTAAAAAAAATTAAAATTAAAATTTTTAAATAATATTATTTTACCTAATTAAAACTTATTTCATGTTAACTGTAGTGGCATTAACTTTTTGAGAGTAGTGATGACGATATACGTCCTTAGGGTTAGAGTTTCTAGTTTTCTATCCATTGAGAGTCGATAGCTTGGAGGTGTGAGGACATAGGGGCACCAGTGTTTATTTCTGCCTTTGATATGTTTCTTTTTTCCTTTTTCATTTTTTTTTTTTCGGTCTAGCAATTGTTGGGTTTGTGTATTTGCTTAGGGTCTGTCTTGTTTTGGGGACCATAGAGGCCAGTCCGATGAGAACTGGTCAGGAGGGACTACTGGCGAACTCGATGGAGGTGATGGGGTGCAGGCGGCGCCTCTCGGCAATGAAGGGTTTGGTGTTAAGGGGGTTGAAAATAGGCTTGGCAAACGAATGGGCCAAACTGGGTTGAAACAGGCAATGCCATAACAGGTCACGGGCAATGAAGATTGATCATAACCCGCTCTTTACGGATCACAAGTTAACCCACAAGATAACCCAAATTGAACCCCCCCTTTTCCCCCCTTTTTTGTACCTTTTTAAATCCAAAAGAGTGAGGATGACAAAGAAGCCAACTAATAAAGTTCCTATAAATGAGTTCTTGTTGAAAAATAAAAAAAGCACTAATTAGAAGAAGAAGAAAAATTAAAAAGAGAGTCAGACAATGTAAAAATAAATTATATTTCTATTCTTTTTTTTTTTTTTTCTATTAGTTCTTTATATATTTGCAAGAGTACAAGCCCTATATAAAGGAGATAGGAATTATAAAGAATAAACACTCACTAATTGAAAGATTACAAGGATTAATCTCTTACTAATGAAAGAGTTACGAGGCATCTCATTATCATCATCTAAATACATGACATTATGGGGTGTTAACCACAATTGTAATTGCACAGAAGTAGTGAAAGTTACATCATTACTTGCTGTGTAAATGCCATGAAAAGTGGAGAGGTGAGAGGATATGAAAAATGAAACATCCAAAGTGAATTGATTCATAACACTTTCCTTGCATGTTCACCTTTTATTATATGCTTGTTAAACTATCTCATTAAAAACCTTACAAAAAAAACCCAGTGGGAAAAAAGACCTTAGCAAAGGGAAAAAGAGTGCAATGCGTATAATACTCCTTCTTAATTCAATATATATTCATAATCAGGTAATTTATGCCGACCTAGTGTCTTAGCTACTCAAAGTTTTGGAAGCCAATAATTTTGTAAAGAGAATTTGTTGACTTCTCATTTAAATAAATTTAATAGACACCATATCATTATATATTTGGAACACTAATCCAAAAATATTACATAATTATCATGTTTTTAATTCTACATGGCCAAGATCCAAAAATACTAGCCAATCATTCTTCGTAGACAATTTTCGATAAATTTTATCCAAGATCCTCATATTCATTGATTATATCCATTATGATTGCATATGCAAATATTTCTTATCAACAATAATTTCATTTTAATTCCATCATCTTTTTAGGAGAACTATAATTTATAGAGATCTCACCATTATCTATAATTTTAACATTCTTATTATTTCCAAGTACCTAATCCCTTTGTTAGGTTTGTTTCCTCAAGAACTCTTTAAAAATTTTATGATTTCAACAGTACTAACATTTTGCTTATACTTTCTCCTCATTTTTTGATTTTTATCTTTAAAACCATTTATTCTAACATGTTTTGAGTTGACATAATACACTCCTTTGTGCTAATATTTTGGCATCTTTTTATAAGAATATCAATACAAGTAAGAGTACTTAAAGCTTGGATATGTGATTTATTACTTTCATTTTGTCAATAGATGCATTCATCAATTGATAGTATAGAATTCTAATTTATATCAACTTATTTGATGATCTTCAAATATACATCTTAAGTTATCTCCTGCCTCTCCAATATTTAGTTCTCTTCACCTGATGCTAAGAACATGATTATTTTAGATTGGTTGCCAATCAACAAATTTTATTGTAAAAAGATCCACAGTCAACCCATATAAACTCTCAACCTTCTTTGGAATTATCAAGCTAGATATGCTCTCAACACAAATTTCATATTGCTAAAGGAATTATTTTGTCATCTTCATATTCAAGCATATATTAATGCCATAATATATCAAAATATATTTCAATAATTGAGCATGGGTTTATATGTTTCCTTGAATCCAATATAATAACGAAAGAGATTATACTTTATTTGTATTTGTAAAAAGCTTGATAATCATATTCTTAGGGATGCAACATATGAAAAATCGCTTGATAGCCAAGTTACTTAGGCCAAATCATTCTAGGATCAACTTTTTTGTTAGTCCCAATGTTTGATCTTATTGGATTTATGTATGTAATTCAAAAGAGAGTTTTTAAAATATATGCCTTTTAACTACATAAGAGATGTGACATAGGAGATATTTTGTATTATTATCATTCATGGTTTTAATATAATAACCATTATTTATTTGTACCCTTAAAGTTTAGTAAATTTTAATATATTCTACTAGTATACAATTAGTTATATATATAAAAATTTTGCTTCTCCAAGTTACAAAATTCGAGCTTTTCAAGAGTTTTCGATAGTAAACAATGTATAAACTCTTTCCTTTTTTTCAATAAAAATTTTAAAATAAAACTTCACATGAACTTCAAGCTAAGTATAACTAGAAAAAGTTTTTTTTCCAAGATATTTCATCATGGCATAGCTTTTTGCACATTGAAAAATGATATACAATTTTTCAAATTCTATTCTACTGTTATACATTTTGTATAATAAGAGTGCATGTACATCACATTTTATTTATTATAGAGGCACAATTATACTTTCATTGTGTGATAACAATGATTTACACAATTTTAACTTTTTATCATTGATTTCATTACCATAATAAGGATGCATTTTTCAAAGTATAGCTCCATTAATATATAACCTCCATATTGAGACTTATTAGATGAGATTAATTTGACTCTCAAAATTTGGGATATAAATTCCTCATATGAGAAATGTTATTATAAAATTCATATCCATTCATAAATGTAATCTTGCATCTTATCTTCCCACTGAAATTAAATTTTTATTGAAGAGATTTAAATTCAAAGAATTCTACTTTTAATTCACAATCCTCACATTGGGATATATATTTAATTTCTCAAATATTTGAGATATATTTCCCCAATATTCTCAAAATGGTTATACTATATCCAAGTGTAAAATAAAATTATGTATCACAAATATTACAAATGCATATTAATAATATTATTTTCTACAAAAATATGTTTTGGGCAAGACTTGTAACAAAGCAAGCAACTACTTGGAAATAGATAAGCACAGGAATTACTTGAATATACCAAAGATATATGATCAATATTTATTCATGTCACATTTATAATAAGAACTCTCAAATCCTATGCCAACTTATTTTGCAAATCTTTTCATTTTTGCGAAGTCTTATTTCGCAACCATATTCATAGCCATGATAATAACATGATCTCACATTCTCTTTTAGGAATGGACTCAAACCAATAGTTGTGATTGATGAGTTTTCATCAATTCATAATTTTGTTGGTAACAAGAAGACATATATTTACTTTGAATATATATGTTAAATTGCCTTCTCAAAATTGCTATTTTTGAAGTATATTGGAGACAAGAAAAGAAAAGTATTTTTTCTCTAATATGTCTTTATAAATAATAATTTTTCTTCTACGTAAAATAATTCAAAATATTTATTGATTCATACTCAAGTAATAAATGGATCTATTCATAGCTAGCTTTTTGGAAGAGTTGCAGTTTTCTTTTGATGATCATCTTTTTTCCAAACAATTCCATGATTCAATGAATTATTTATTGTCAAATATTTATCTCTTAATCCTTTTTGGACTTCATAATGAAAAAATATCATTTCATTGCAATCCTTTAAGGATACCCTTTTCTTTAAAAATACTTTATTCCCTTCCACAATTGAATCTTCAAAATTCATTGGAGGTAAAATAATTTTCACATCAAGAGTTTATGATAAATATTTTGAGCCCAATTTATCAAGATCAATGAACTTAAGTCTTTTGACAAGTGCAAAATAACATATAAAGTAGAAAATTATTATAGCACCATAGAATATTCAAATAAGAAAACAAGAAATTAAAAACAATTTTGCCTCAAAATCTTATCTCAAAACTTTACCTCAACTTAAATCTTTACCTCAATTAGTTCATCACCTCAGATAGGATTCATAAATAGTAATTTATATAGAGACAAGTCATACTGATAATGTGCTGTAAAATAAAGAAAGAATCGATTAGAAGAAGAAGAAAAATTAGACAGACAAAGTGAGGCAATGCAAAAATATATTATATTTCCTTTCCTTTCTTCTCCATTTGTTCTTCATACATTTTTAAGAATACAAGCCTTATATATAGGGACCAATAGGTGATAGGAGCAGTGTTATCAGTAGCGGATAGTGGTAAATAGCGAGAAGGCCAAAATTCGCTATGCTAGCTAGCGCATAGCGAAGTGGCCGCTATTGACAAAATAGCGACAAAAAATTTTAAAACATATAAATATGATTAAAAATTGACATACTTGCTAATAAAAAGGCTTAAAATAACCTAATAAAAATTAACAAAAATACGATAATATTTCAAGCACATCACATGATAAAACTCATATGGAAAAGGTTTAAAAATTTAGAACTCCCATAACATAACAAGATTAAAAAGTATAAATATTGAGTTACTGACAGCTTCAATACATGCAAATTAAGAATCTAAAGTTTATCATGAAATCTAAGAATCAAAATCACTCCCTTCAGCTTCCATTTCCTCTTCCTCAACCTCATAATCATCAATATCATCAACTTGGCCTTTTTCACCTTTACCATTGGCACTTGTCTCAAACTCCTCTTCCTCATCTGACTTTTCAAAATTTAAATTAGCTATTTCAAAATTTAAATTAGCTACTTCTTCAATAACTCTAGATCTAGAGGTTGTAATTGGAGTTCTAGAGGTTGGAGTTGGGATTGCATTTTTCTTGCTTGCCCCCTAATATAAGTTCTAATTTCTATTGCTCCTAATGCCTTTTCAACATCTCCCCATGTCAAATTTTCATTTGGAAAGACTAAATTATTTTCAGCATCTTCATTGTTGTCCTTGTCCATCTCTCCAATCAACTACTCATTGTCATAATCAACATCACTTAAACTAATGGGGTCAATCTCATCTCTTAAATCATATCGAGCTTTGAATGCTTGGTTGTATTTTATAAAAACCAAGTCATGCATCTTTTGGTGCTTAAGTGTATTTCTCTTCTTATAATGAATCTGAAAATGCAAAAAATAAAAATAAAAAATAAAATTTGTAACTATTTTTTTTCTATAAAAAATCAGTTTTGAAGCATTCATTGATTAGCAATTAATAAGATTAAAGGCTTACTTGCTCAAAAACACTCCAATTACGCTCACACCTTAATGCACTACATGTCAAGCTCAAAATCTTAATGGCAAGTTTTTGCAAATTTGAAGCTGAATGCCCAAACAATGTCTACCATTCAACTACAAATTCAAATGTAAAATTATTATTAGTATTTAAAATATTTAATTTAAATACTAACAAGAAATTTAAAATTCAAAAGTATCTTAGCAGGAGCCTTTGAAGCCCTTGATATAATTGCCAACTCTTCACCAAAATGGCCTTGACCTCTCTTATAAATTGCCACCACCTCATATATTTTGAGTTGCATCTCCATATGAGGTGCCATCTTCTTAATACACTCCATCAATCCACTCGTAAGTCTTAAGTCTAAATTCATGTTTGGAGTGCCATAAAAGGTTGTTGGGTTTAAGTAATAAGCTGCTGCATGCAAAGGGCGATAAAGTCGGCATTCCCATCTTCTATCAATGATATCAAGTATTTCGTTGTATTTGCTTGCATCCTCATTTAATGATCTCTTGATGCCATCCTGTGCTTTGCCCATTGCCTCATAAATATAAGGCATGGCCAGTTTCTTTTTACTATCAACAAGTCGCAAAGCACTAACAAGGGGGCCTATAACTTTAAGAGCATACAATACACTATTCCAAATGAGGTAGCCATCACAGTATGCATTGCTTTTACTCCTTTGGAGTCTTTAGCCAACTTAGAGTTCACCCAATCATCAGACGTAAACATTTTTCTAAGATTAGTTTTTTGCTTATACACACTTTGTCATGAAAGAAATGTGGTAGCAAACCTTGTCACCCCATGTCTAACCAACTCAGTGTTATTAGTGAATTGCCTCATCAAGTTTAGGGTACTTGAGTGGTTGTAGATGAATCCAACAACACTCATTGCTCTTTGTATTGTTCGCTTCACTTTTGAAATCTTTCCAATATCTTCTAGCATAAGATCAACGCAATGTGCAGCACATGGAGTCCAAAATATATCCTTTCTCTTTTCCTCCAATAATTTACCTAAAAAAAAATTCAAAATTAATTTACCTATACAAGAATATCAAAATACCAAAAAAAAAAAAAAAAAAA